CTATAAGACACGTGTGGATAAAACGAAGAATACGTGTAGCAAGTTAACATTTTGGGATTGGTTCCTGTTGTTTTGCAGATCCTGTCAGAGGAGCGTCAATGTTAGCCGGGGGTGATACGATACATATGTATAGTAGCTATTTTTAATCGCAAAGTGTGGATTAGGCCAGGCCACGCTGTAAGTATCCATCAGTATTCGAGGTGCCTTATTTTTAACGACGTGGAAAGATGACATGCTGCATCGTTGTTTCGCGGGCGTGTACATGCTCTCTTGTTGGTACAAGATCCCATGTGGCATCTACCAAGTCACGGCTCTTACGCAACCAACAACAGAACTCCAACGATGTACCGCACCTTTCCTCGTCACCTCAGCAAGCCCTGCACCTTGCGCCCGCTACCGGCCGAAGTGGACCAGGCCCAGGCCAAGGTCCAGGTTCTTCAGTCGAACCACATTCTCGGCGCAGTTCTGTTCGACACCTTCAGCCCACATTGTTGTCGTTTGAATGTCGTCAGCGTGCCCGTAGGTCTCAGCAACACACAGCTCGCTTGTGGACAAGGCCGAGCCTCTGCGAAACTGAGTTTTTAGGTGTCGATCTGGACCGGCGGATTTCGTCACATGGAACAGTGGTCCCTGGGACTTCTGCCACCACCAAGACTGTGCAGCGAAGACGGCTCTTTCCCTGTAAAGCACAGACACAGGCCCAAGATAAAAAAATTAGCGACTCCCCTCCAAAGACGGGTGAACGAAAGGCAGTGGGGATGAAGGAGGTGAAAGACCAGGGCCGTGTTGCGAAGGTTCCTGTGTCGCGTATCCGAAACTTCTCCATCATTGCTCATATCGATCATGGCAAGTCTACTTTGGCAGACAGGTTGCTGCAACAGACGGGAACGGTCGAACAACGGGAAATGAAGGAGCAGTTTCTGGATAATATGGACCTCGAGAGGGAGCGAGGCATCACCATCAAACTGCAGGCTGCACGCATGCAGTACGTCGCCAAGGATGGTGAAGTCTACTGTCTCAACCTGATTGATACGCCTGGTCATGTGGACTTCTCGTACGAAGTGTCACGTTCGCTCGCTGCGTGCGAGGGCGCGCTTCTCGTGGTGGATGCTTCTCAGGGAGTTGAGGCTCAGACACTTGCCAATGTTTACCTCGCCTTGGAGAACAATCTCGAGATCATTCCGGTTCTTAACAAGATAGATTTGCCCGGTGCAGATCCTGATCGCGTACGAGAAGAGATTGAGGAGATGATTGGTCTCGACTGCCGGGAGGCCATCCTGTGCTCCGCGAAGGAAGGGATCGGGGTCGATGAGATTTTGGAGGCAGTGGTCAAGAAGGTTCCTGCTCCTCCAGAAACTGTGGATGAACCACTCCGTGCCCTGATCTTTGACAGCTATTACGATTCGTACAGGGGGGTGATTGTGTACTTCCGTATCATTGACGGGGATGTGCGTAAAGGCGACAAGATCCTGTTCATGGCGAGTGGGAAAGAGTACGTAATCGATGAACTTGGAGTGCTATCGCCTTCTCAGATCCCGGTTGACCGGCTCCGCGCCGGCGAAGTGGGGTATATTGCTGCCTCCATCCGTTCGGTTGCTGATGCTCGTGTCGGCGATACAATCACCCATGCCGGAAGGAAGGCAGCGAAGATGTTGCCAGGGTATGAGGAAGCAACCCCTATGGTCTTCTGTGGTCTTTTCCCTATCGATGCGGACCAATTTCCGGAGTTGCGGGAAGCACTCGAGAAGCTGCAGCTGAATGATGCAGCTCTCAAGTTCGAGCCAGAGACTTCCAGTGCCATGGGTTTCGGGTTCCGCTGCGGATTTCTGGGCCTTCTTCACATGGAGATCGTACAGGAAAGGCTCGAAAGGGAGTACAACCTGAATCTCATCACCACGGCTCCCAGCGTCGTGTACAGGGTGCACACGACCAGCGGCGACGTCATCGAGGTCGATAACCCTGCTGCGCTGCCCGATGCTGGCAAGCGTCAGTTCATCGAAGAACCTTATGTGCGATTGGAAGTCATTACGCCCAAGGACTACATCGGAACACTCATGGAGCTCGCGCAGAATAGGAGAGGAGACTTCAAGGAACTCAAGTACATCACAACTAGTCGAGCATCGATCGTGTATGAGGTTCCCCTTGGAGAGGTTGTTTCCGATTTCTTTGATCAGATGAAGTCTCGAAGCAAGGGTTACGCCAGTATGGAGTACTCGATGGTTGGGTACCGAAAAAATGATCTTGTGAAGTTGGACATATCAATCAATGGAGATTCGGTCGATCCTCTGGCCACAATTGTCCATCGCGACAAGGCTTATAATGTGGGTCGTGCATTGACGCAGAAACTGAAGGAACTCATCCCAAGACAGATGTTCAAGATTCCAATTCAGGCCTGCATAGGTACCAAAGTCATCGCAAGCGAGAGCATATCGGCAATGCGGAAGGACGTGCTGGCCAAGTGCTATGGAGGAGATATCACCAGGAAGAAGAAGCTTCTTAAAAAACAGGCAGAGGGTAAGAAGAGGATGAAGTCAGTTGGCAGAGTGGACGTTCCTCAAGACGCCTTCATGGCCGTGCTAAAATTAGAGAAGGAGGTCACGTAGAGAGAGAGCATCGGACGGAACTCTTCTTCTTATGGCTGTGGTAAAATAGAAAAGGGAGGAAACGACAACATCGACAGCATGACGTGAACTCGTCGGACTCCTCCTCTCCTTGTGGAGAAAGGCATGTTAGCATTAACGGGGTCGTCTGTTCGGGGAAGTTCTTGTCAATCTCTGGGAAATTGCAGTCAGAGTCATTTTTGAATGATACTACCTTTGAGCAGTGTTAAGGATTATTGGGGAAGCGCAGCTGGTCGGTGATCCCTTGAGCTGTCTGATATCCAGCTGGATTTGAACAATTATCCTCTTTTGGGTGAACAGTCTTAGGCGGGTACAATCACCCCCGAGGTAGTTAGTGCACACACATGATTGGGCCTAGAAGGGGTCAGGTCATTATTCTTTGCCAGCTTGGCAGAGCCGCCGATGTTAGACTCTGCAGATGATTGGTAGCTCAGGACTGCAGGAGTGCTTGTCAATGTCAGGTGGTCAACGAAGTTTGCGTCAGTGCTACCACTGTGAAAGTAGCAATCTTTTCAAGGTTTCGAGAGTGCCTATCGGTCAGTATCTGCGTCACCGGAATGACGGCCAGCTCCAGGGGTAGCACTCTTTTCAGGGTTCGTTAAGTGCCTGCTACTCGTAGCGTCATACTTACGCGCTGGGACTCTATGCACCGAATCGGGTTGATTTTCTGCTCAGATAGACATCTGGGAAGGTGTACGTTTGCCCGTTGGGACTCCATGCAGTGAATCGGGTTGATTTTCTGCTCAGATCGACATCCGGGTACCCAGACAGCCCAGTCGGCTTTGTGCAAATTAGCTGCCAAGTGCTTTTCAGTGCCAGGAGACTGCCTGTCGGTATCGTTCAGACTTTTTTTTTTTTTTTTTTTTTTTTACAAGACTGTTACTCCAGGTCAGGGTAGTACTCTCAAGGGTTGGTTGAACGACGGTTTGTTAGCGAGGGAACTGCCTCCGCCTGTCAGCGGTTTTCCTGCCTGCTGCGAATGACAGGTCATTGTTTGTCAGGATCACAAGAATCCTCCGTATCGGCCAGCAGAGCGGTCCTCGGGTGCAGGGAGGTGATTTTAAGGACGACTAGTCCACTGCCACTCTATCGAGGTCGGGTGATGACCTGTCTGTTTCAGCACAGATTGCTTGTCAAAGTCAATGGAGTTGGCATTATGAGCAGTGAAGCTCTGCAACAGGTCAGGTTGTGACCCTGATGAGGAGCAAGTCTGATTGTGGTAGGGAAGTAGTTGGGATCTGTGCCAGAGAAGCCTGGAGGGGAAGGATGAGGACAAGTTGCAAGTCTGGTCGCTTAGCGGGGCGTATGCCGTCCTGAGAATAGGTGCATGGCTACCGGCCCTGTCCTCAATGATACAGTGACCAACGGTGTGATCACCAACCTATGAAGCAAACAAACAGATGGCCCAACCAGATTGGCCTTTCCCCTGCCTGGCTGCCTCTTCCTCCACATCCTGCTCCTCACTGCTGTTGCTGCTGTTGCAGAGGTCATTCAGTTTTGTCCAAGCCGTGGGAAATGGAACACGCAATAGCAGATTACCTTTCTCAGCCTTTTGGCTAAGATCAAGTGTAGTATCTATTGTTCTGATGAGCTTAAAAAAAGCCTTAAATGTCTTCTCCGTGGTCGATCGGGTAGAACCCCCCCCCCACCCAAAAAAAAAAAAACAAGGAATACAATAGCAGAATTCGATTCCAGAATCGGGAATTTATCATCAGCTCCAAAGACGCGGCGGATTTGGGGTGCTTATGCGTATACAATGCTGCCCATCTCAAATTTTCGTCCGTGAAATTGGTTCCTGTAAATGTTCACCCGGACATGTTTTCAGAACGGCATCTGCACCGCGAAATGTGTGCACAGCTTTTGGTGGACCATGTTCAGTCTGCAGCAAAGCGCCAGCCTTTTCAGTGGCAAACTGGGTCAAGTTGACTTCATCTTCACCTGCTACATGTGTCCCACCTGCTCTACACGTGTCCCACCTGCTCCACACGTGTCCCACCTGCTGTACACGTGTCCCACCTTCTCTACGCGTGTCCCACCTGCTACACGTGTCCCGCCTGCTACATTTGTCCACAGAATCATGACACCTCAGGGCTGAAAAAGCAACTTGTGCATCCATGAAGCTGGCTTTCTTTGCCTCCTGCGCCATGTGTCGACGGAATGGCGACAGAGCAGCAGTGGACTGACCAAGAACTGTCTTGAATGTGAGGAGAGCACGGTGCACTTGGATGCCGTGTTGTCTATCGATGACGACATCACAGATGTGTGCCTGCTTCTGGAGTGGGAAGGGCAATCAACAAATGTCTCGAGGACAAGCAAAAAGGAGTTGCAGGAGAGGAGAACTCCCATGCAAAACGGTGCCAAGTGTTTCAAGCTTCAGCTGGCACTTCTGGAAATCCGGTTGTGTAGAGGCCGCTTCCTCAGCGAATGGCATTGCGTAACTACTGCGTGCATGGCAGACACACATGCAACACAACGCACATGTGGAAACAAATTGTTTCTACTGTCGAGGTTAGGACGTGAGATGGTCACCGCATATTTTTTGCTGCCTGACTTGATGTGGGCTTCGTATGGTTCTTGCCATGTAGTGGGGGGGGGGAAGGGGAGGGGAGGAGAGATTCAAAACTGGATTGGAAGTTCGCCCTTCGCAGTAAGCTTTGCCAGAATAGGAAATGCCGCAAATGCGAGCTGGAGATTTTGCAGGAACAGGTATGTCAGACTGGCTGGGCAGCTGTGCTTGTATTTTATCACTCTCCTGTTGGCAGCATGGATCTGTGAGATTTTCCACTCCGTAGTCTGAGTTTTATAGACGTACTGCGAACTTGTGCTAAGTTTATTCACATGTGCAGTATTTTGGCTGCGGGCAGCTAGGAAGAGAGTTCAGGAGGGAGGAAAGGGCTGGAAAGATTGTTGTATGGTTTACTTTGAACGATTAGAGTTTAGAACATAGCAAGCCCACGTCGCCGGCAGCCTTTTCTTTTTCTTCCTTCTCTGTGAAAAGATTTAGCCCCTGACGTCAGTTATTGTACCAAAGTAACCCAACAGAATTTGTATGATGACTTCATCAACTTTGCCAACTCTTCATAAATATTGACAATGATTTTTTACATCAACGGTTGTACCGCTCAGCCAGCTCGCAGTTGAGAGAGTTTTTTTATTCTTTCTTTCTTTCTTTCTTTCTTCCTTTCTTCCTTTCTTTCTTTTCTTTTCTTTTTTTTCCTAATGTTTGGACCATTTCTTGATTTATGCGTGTCATCCTTGCACAGGGGACATGCTACTCTTCT